TCTGAAATCTGAATAAATAATCTTTCCATTGATGTATGGTTTGTTGGGATAGGACAGTATTTGAAAATCTGGAATCTGAAATCTAAATATTGAGAAAATCATCTTTAAAGTTGTTCAAATGAAGTTCTTAGCAATGCATATTACTAATCAAACATTAAGTTTTGATATATTTACGGTAGGACATTTACAAAATATCTTCATGGAACATGATCTTTACTTAATATCCTAATGATTTTTGGCATAAAAGAGAAATGTATAATTGTGACCCATACAATGTATTGTTGGCTATTGCTACAAATATCCCCCAGCGACTCAACACTGCTTTTGTGCTGCAGGGACACATATAAACATTTGTATTTGAAAATGATATTTACTAGTAATAATTTTATATATGCACTTGAAAACTTAATTTTATTAGTCATTTTATCCCATCCACAATTAATTAACCTAAGTTTTTTTTCTCTGCCACATTTGGTTTCAAAGAATGTTTAACCAAGCTCTTGTTACCCAGAATTCCACAGGGGATAGAGCAAGCATGTGACCTGCTGCAGAGCAGAAAGGCTTTAGTTTGCATCATTAGTCCTGATGTGAGGATTACAAACGACTGGAATGTGTGTGTGTATATATATATATATATGTGTGTGTGTGTGTGTGTTAATCTGCTGTTCTCATGAACAGACCAAAGGATCAGAAATATCTCAATCTTTCCGTTCAAGATAATTAACTGAAATACTGCAAAACTATTAGTACTTTCAGCCTGTAGAGTTAAAAACTAAACCCAAGTCATCAAATTAAGTGCTATCACACTTGAACATCTCTTAGGACAAAAGCATCTGTTAAATAAATTAATGTAAATGTTATCTAGTTTTATGTAGCTCCCATTCCACATTTGTTTCCTCACATCAGATGTGTTTAAAGCAGCATTTCTCCTCTCCTCTAGATTCCTAACGCTCCCCCGGCCTACGAGAAGATCCCCTCCAGACCTTCACCTCCTGCTTACTCACCATGAGTCACAAACTTAAGGAAAATCTGTGGATTTCTATGTTTGCGGGATGAACGATCACACAGTACAAGTGACGGTATACGGCAGGAGTGGCCACAGTGCTGCAGCATTCAGCTCCAGTCTTGATCAAGTCTCACCTGCCTGTAGCTTTCTATTAATCCTTGGACCTTGATGAGCTTCTTCAAGTGTTTGATTAGGGTTCGAGCTGAACTCTGCAGGACTGTGACTCTCCAGGACCAACTACCAAAGCGTGTGGACTACAGCATAACACTGCTGTGCCTTTTAAACACAATGCCATTCATCAGACTTGAGGCTAATAAAGTTTAATATTCATTTAATCCACAAAAGTGTGTTTAATTCAAAGTATTTAAAAAGAAAATGTCATTAGCACCTAAAACTGGTAAGATGCTCTCAGTTACAGATGCAGGTGTTTTTTTACAGATGGAGATTTCACATTAGTTGTTTATTTCTGTTCAAAGTATTTTCTTCTGACCTGTTACTGATGATTTTATTTTAATAATGTATCTTTATCAATCATATCCCTGCTGAAAAATTCAATAGAAACCATCACATACATTTTGGTTTCTTCTACAAATACCATTACAAACTATAACATTTTAACCCTTAAAATTTTTTTCTTTAGTGTGTTTTGGGACATATTCCATTAGGATTTATTGGTTTTAAGTCACCAATAGAACCAGTAGAAACCCACCGGCACCATTACAGTTTCCATTAAAACCAATACAAGTCCCATTATAACCAGTAAAACCATTACAAATTCTGTGATGGTTTCTATTGTTTTTTTTCAGCAGGGATGTCTGCAGTTCTTTTCCAAATGTATGACTGTAAAAGTGAACAAGCATAATGAAACTTATTCACATATTCATTGAGCTTCAGATACCTGACGCTGGAAATCTCAACTATATGAGGCAAACTAAGTTTCTATGAAGAGATGCCGAGCTTCTTATGCAATGAACGGCGTCACTGCATGTAATGTGCTGTTAAATTTTATCATAAAATCTCAGGAAATAATCGGACTCAGCTGACAAAAATGTTTGGGAATCTCTTGATATAACGTGTTTAACAAACTCAAAAGACAAGCACAGTACACCAATGTTTTACTTCAGTCATAAATATGCCATGTTTATTTTCATGAATATAGACGAAACACAAAATCAAACTGTTATCAGATGATGTCTGATAATACTCAACCTATGCCTGAATGCACGAACGCAGGCTTGAGATCAGCCAGACATACTCTTAAATAGACTGAAGACTGTTCTACAGAATAATATTAATCATTTTAATGGAAAATGCTACAAAACATTCAAACCTTTGCATACAAATGGAGTAGAAAAGAGTCAGCCAAACACTGTTATGTACATTACTGGCCATTTGAAATCTCCAAATTTCTCTTTGCGAAACCATTTTTATTTACAACTAAGGATAACCGATTTCCCCTCAATATGTATTATAAAGAGCAAAATGCGCAAAATATTAATTTAGGTATTTAGTATTCAGCCTATCAACACGGGGAGGGAATGGAACCAAAGGAAGCCCACCTGTTTTCAACAAAGCCCAAAACACTAAACAGACTGTCCTCTGTGATCACAACAGGAAAACAAGACAACCTCCAGAACCATTTCAGTGATTGGGTCTCCCCAAGGTATCTGGTTTTCTCAGTGGATCACTTGTGTTTAAAATAGGTACAGTAACGCTACTTGAGGAGGAACTGACCAATTGAGCGGCCATTGGCTTTGCCAATACTTGCAAGCTTGAGGCTGAGGCTTGAATGATATTTAAGACAGCACCATCTGGACTCAACAACAGTTTAGCAGGAGTGGGAACTTGTACAGGAACCATGCTTTGACCTTGCGATGGCTGGGGTAAAATAACAGGCTTTCCGATTGTCCCAGGTTGCACGGTTCTGATAGGTGGACAAGGTGTCATTATGACCGTGCTCATAGATGGAGGAGCGGTTGCAATGAGAGTGTCTGGACTGGCATTGTTTGCACCACCGATTGGTGGAACCATTGCAACCGGAAGTTTCTGTATCCGTGATATCGTGCTGCTCATGTGTGGTACCATAGGCAAATGCCTTGGAATCACAGCTTTTGCTGGTGGTACGACTGGTGCCACTTGGTTTTGGGATAGTCTTCCTGGCAAGAGCACTGGAGAAGTTGTGCTTAGTAAACCTCCTTGGGAAAGAGAGGTTTCTTTGGGACACCCGGCCGTACCTTGTGATGCTGTAACTGAGACGTTGGAGGTTTGAAAGATAGGAAGTCTCACAATGTCTGAAGATACACCAGGACGCAGAGCTTGTGCTACTTGTGAGAGAGCAGTAGGACCAGACACATTCAATGGAGTTCTGGTGCTCAGTTGCTGACGGAGTTGATCAGAGGGTCCAACTTTTGCCAAGGGTAGCCTGACCGGTGTTACCAATCTCAAACCTTGTACAACTGAAGGAACCGTGTGAGTAACTGAAGTGTTTGGACCTCTAGAAACAGTGGAAGCAGGACTTGGGACTTGTAATCCTCCAGGACTGGCAAGACTTGGCCCTTGCAATCCTCGAGGACCAGTAGGATTTGGCCCTTGCAATCTTTTAGGACTAGCTGGACTTGGCCCTTGCAATCTTTGAGGACCAGAAGGACTTGGCCCTTGCAATCTTTGAGGACCAGCAGGTCTTGGCCCTTGCAATCCTCCAGGAGTAGCAGAACTTGGCCCTTGCAATCCTCCAGGAGTAGCTGGACTTGGCCCTTGCAATCTTTGAGGACCAGCAGAACTTGGCCCTTGCAATCTCTGAGGACCAGCAGGACTTGGCCCTTGCAATCTTTGAGAACCATCAATACTTGACCCTTGCATTCCTCCAGGACAAGAGTTGGAGATAAGCAGAACATGGCTGCCAGGTGCAAGGCCTTGAGAAGGTACAACAAATCTGGTGTTATTGATCAGGAGCTGAGTTCCAGGGGCAAGTGGGGCAGTGGTGTTGATCACGATTTTCTCCTGAACACTCTTGGTGGTAGAGGTCAGAGGTTGGATCCCAGAGGACATGACCACCGGAGGAGTTAAAGTGGAGCTGCAACTCAATGCAAAAGTACTGGATACTGCAGAAGCAGAAGTATTGGCTGTTGTTTTGATCAGTGAGTGTGAAGTGCAAAGGGATGTGATCACTGGCTTGTTAGCAGTCACATTAATTGGTAACGTAGTGTGTTTGGTAATTAGGCTTCCTGAATAAGAGGAAGATGTATTTGAAGTAGAGCTGCCAGCCGATAACCCTGTTTTACAGTGAAGAGCATTTAACGCTGAAACTGATGGAGGTACATCTGGTTTCACAACTGACAAAAGTGCAGAGGAAGCCATGTGGCCGGTGCCTAGAGTTGAAAACGTGAGCGTTTTGCCGTCAAAAATCCGAGGTACTTTCGAAGCACTTTCGGTATTCCCTGACAGACTTCTGCTTGCAACCAAACAGCTTTTTGGACCAATCTGGAGTCCACTTGTGGTTGATGTTGCAGGTACTCTGGAGACGATCACAGGTGTAGTTTTCATTGAGGCTTCAGGTTTCTTGTTTGTGCCAAGTATTCTTGATGTTAACCCTGGGACACCGATGCTCTGGATGCTTGTACCTGAAGAAGTGCAGGATAAGATCCCCAAGTTGGGAACTACTTTCAATGCTGGTGTACTAGCAGAGGAAATGTTAACTTCTGAAGTTGACATCTCTTTTGGAATGGTAAGTGCTGAGTTGCTTATGAACATGACCCGAGAACCTGGAACGGTACAGGTTGCTGTAGTAGTGACCTTTGAAGGGATATTTGGTGAAGGTGTGACCAGAAAAACTTTTTGGAAAGTCGATTGGTCTGGAGTTGTGCTTCCTGGTGGAGCCCTTTTTTGTGGGGGCTTCGTTCCACATTTAGAGACCGTATTCTGCTGAGCGCAATCTTTCGCATTTATTAGGAAATTATCACTGCCTTTGCTTGTAGCCAGGAGTGCGGATTTACCAGTGATTGTTGTTTTGCCTGTAGTGCCGTTATTGGAAATCTGATTTAAGGTTAAAGGAGTGACAGTTCCTGCCACAAAAGTAGACGGAGGAGTGACTCCAGGTAGAGATTTAGCAGCAATGGTGGCCGAAACAGCTTGTGTATTAGACGTGGAAGACTTTGACACCAGAAAGGCATGAAGTTGGGGCGAGATGTTAAAAACTGGGCTGGGTGGCAAAGCCCCCGTTCCACTTTCTGATGTCTGAACCTTCACCACTCCTGTGTTGCCTCCTCTAGTAGTGACAAGGATGGACTGAGAGTCTCTAATACACACTGTCCTGAGCTCCTGTTTAGCATCAGATTTGGTCAGACCACTGCTGGCTGATTTGTTCAAGGCCACCTTTGGTTCAGTAGTCTTTTTAGGCACACCAACAGTCGTTATGTTCCTTAAACTGGGAGTAACTAGAGCAGATGGTGTTCTTACAGCACTGGTATCTTTCAAAGGTGCCACCGGTTGGACAGGAACCTTGTTTTCCGGTATAGTGAACCCTGAAACATTGGACATGTACGTTGTAGTCTTAGGGATAGATACAGAGGTCTGGGCTGCCTTATTCCCAGTGCTTTGAATCAGTAGATTTGAAGGCAGGATAACAACTTGCTGCATCGCCTTCGCCCCTGATTTTTGATTTGACATTGACTGCACTGAAAAGTTTACAGAAGTGCTTCCTTGCCTGAGAAGCCCCACGCCTCCTGCCGTCTTGTACACCACCTGTCCAGTGCTTTCGGTTGCAGATGTTGTAGTTATTCTTTCTGTAGAGACAGGTTCAGAGTGTTGCGTAGATGCACAGGTAGTTGATAATTGGACAGGTGGCAGAGTTACAGATGCTGTTTTGTTATGATCCCGCAGAACCTGAGCCATCATTGCAGCCTTCGGATGACTTATTAAGGTCACTTTGTTTCCAACACTCTTAGCCAGCAAAGCCTGGATGGGTTTGCAAGTCCCCTGAAAGCTACTTAAAGGCTCAGGCAACACTGAAGCTTGTGAAGCTTCTCTGGATGCAACTTCCACATTAAAGTCAGATGTCAAAGAGCTCTCTGGGTCCATTTTGCCTCTCTTGCATGGACTCAGTTCCTCACTGATTGCACCAGTTTGGCGCCGCTTTGAACTGCGTGTAAAGGGTCCAGACTCTGACGAATAGATGACAACATCAGGTCTGTCAACTAGGCATCTTGATTCGTGATTTACATTCTCTGCAAAAAAGGGCAGCATGCATCAGTCAAAACAAACATCACAAAAATGTACTGAATGCATAAATGTCTTTGAATTTGGAAAATCGAAAACAGAAGTTGATAAACTGAAACAAAGTGCTGCTTAAACAACAAAAGCAAGAATATTTGAAACACTTCCTTGTAATAAATTCATCAGGCACTTTCTATCACAAATACTTTCATACTGTTTGGTTAGTTATGCATTAGAAATTCAACAATCCTTTAGGGCCTGTATTGTTTTGCTTCTCTTTGCATTGTCAAGAACTTACATAAAGGCCATGCATTTGGTAAAATTAGACGTTTCAAATGTTAATCAGACTCACCTGTTGTCTCAGAATCTTCCTTCATAGTTTTGCCCATTTTGACTTCACTCTCTTCCAGTTTGTTTGTTGTCTCTGCGGACAACAATTCATCTTTGCATGCAACTTCCCCAGTATCTTCTGTATCCATCTGCTCCCTGATGAAGTTCTCATATTCGGGGTGTATTTTGAATTCGTCACACTCCTTTTTCAAGCGCACTCTGTTGAGGACAAGGACAGGGATGAATTCACAAAGCCCTGTTGCCAGGAAAACATCGCCTCAAGGTAGAAAAGAAAAAAACGAAAATATCTAGGTGCCTGTTGAATGCAGCGAGGTGTATCAGTCACTGCGCATTACAATGGAAAGCTCTTTCTTGGATATAATTCAAATTCACCTCCCAGATTGCTTGAGAAAACCTTTCTTTGATCAAAAACAATACTGAAATGCAGAAGTCTGAAAAAACAACAATGTCAAGATTCTCAAAGGGGAAAAATATGATTGCACAGATTTAAGATTTCCCCATCTATATTCAGCATGTGGTTTCAGTGCAACAAGGTAAAATTATTTCGCATTCAAACATTCCCTTTTGAAATTAAATTAAAGCACCAAGGAGGTTTATGTTTACTCCTTTACCTGTTCCTCTGGAAGGCCTTGACGAGTTTGGGTTCCCATGGTAACAGCTCATTAAGCAGCCTTATAAGTGTGATGTGCAACTCTTTCACGGCGGCTCTTTTATGGGGCCATCGTCCCTGAAATATGGCATAAAGACACACAATACATACACATCAGTCTTTAACGCTGCCATGCATCAAACACTAACTCATACTTGTCAAATCCATATCATGCATGTATGCAAACAACCATGTTAGGCCACACTGAATTTGTTTATCTCACATTAAAATGCAAATTTAGGTTCAATAAAGTGATAATATCCGCACAGTTCAGGATATGCATTAAATGCATTGAAATTATTCATGCAACCAAAAATAAATGGATTTTATTTAGTTGCATCAATTGCATGTGCACAACATAAGTCAAAGGTAAGATACTGTCATATAAATTAGTTTGTGCAATAGTAAATGCATGCGTTTGTGTTCCCTCTCTTACTAACAGATCTCTTTTTGCCGTCCAGTTCATCTAGTTGATCTTCTATTTTACTGATTAGGACTCTGAGATCATCCAGACTGGAGCAAACCAACTACAAAAGCAAGGAGATATGGGAGAAAGAAATAAGGGTTAAAAAACGTTTAATTATATATGTTCGTTTTTAATTGCATGCATTCCAATAATTGAATTTATACTGTAAAGCACTTTGGTTCAACTTAAATGTGTTCAAAATAAATAAAGGCTGAATATGTTTAAATGAGTGTGGTTTTAATTATTCAGACATTATAATAAATTCTACTAAATGCTGCCCTCTAGTGAAGGTCTAGTGAACAAATCTCATGTTTCCAGATGCATTATGGGATTCTTGGCTCTCTATTGACGTCTGGAACATTTAAATGTACTTATTTACTTATAAAAGCATCTGCTAAACGAGTAAAAGTAAATGCAAATCATCTGTGAAATGCAAAGCACAAATGCTTATTCGTTTGAAAATAAGACCGATCAATAAAAAGGATTTTCAAATGAGAGAATTTTGAAAGCAAAACTAAAACTAATATTGAAAGTGGTGAGAGAAAGTGTCTGATGAGTTTATTAAGGAGTTCCACTCACTTATTTAATTATTGCAATTAACTCGTGTAAGAATGTTGTACTAGTATTCTAAATTAAAATTAACAATAACAGTGCAAATAATAATAAAAAATTAAAAAGTCAATGAAGCATAAAATATAATAAATAGCATGGAAATAAAATAGTTACAAATAAAAAAAAAAGTGTAAATAAAATAATAATGTAAATTAAAAAATTTAAAATAAAACAATGAAGTGTAAGCAATACAAATAAAATCAATAATAAGTGAAGTATAAATAAAAGAAATAATTACAAATACAATAAATAATAATGAATTAAGTGTAAAAAAAATAATAATTTTTTTATAATATTATAAGTTATATTACACTATTATAAAATAAATATAAATATCACTGATAATAATAAGAAAGCCTATAGTAGGTTTACCATGAAGGCAAGAATTTTTTTTTTTTACATATTAAAACTCGAAATTAAACATAAAAATCTTGCATTAGTGTAGTTTTAAGTTGACATTTCACAAAGTTGACATTTGCTTTTTGTTGATCTCCATCTTTTAAATGCTTTATAATGTTTTGTTTTGCATTAACTTTAACTGGTTTAGCAGACGCTTTTATCCAAACTGACTCTCAAATGAAGAACATTGTGAGCTTTTTTAATCGTAAGGGCCGCATTATTTGCGATGCACAGAGTGTTTTTTATTTGCAGGTAATGAAGTCTTCATCTGACCTGAAACGTGGGTTCAGCTGCCGGCGGAGCAGATCCTAACCTCGCCTTCCCATCAAACCTCTTTCCTGGAGACGGAGAAACACGAGAGCAAAGGCACGACATCTGATCATTCAGAATAAAATCGGGTATACGCAAACAATAAATGTGTGAGGACTGGACACCTGTAAACAAACATATCGTTTTCATAAAGTCGGCATGAATTCAAGGTTATTTCACTAATAGACGTATTGTGACGTATTCTAAAAACAGCATTTTTAAAAAATTAATTATTTCCCATCCTTGATTATTGATTATAGTCTAACATTTTGTAATTTAAAAATGTTAACATGTTAGATTTAAATGGAAAAAAGTGAAATATTTCAGATGCTACATAACACAAACACTCAAGACTTACAATGCATTTCAGCTGATAATATTAAGGCATTCAGCTTAAAGGCAGAGTCTTTTGTAAATAAAATGCATAATTAAAAATTAAGTGTAAATAAAATAAAAAATTACATGAAAAATACATTAGTATAAATACAATAAATAACTAAAAGCAAAAAAAGTTATAAAACAAACTTCATATATATATATATATATATATGTGCGTGTGTGTGTGTATGTGTGTGAGTGAGTGTGTGTGAGTGTGAGCATGTGTGTGTGCCTGTGAGTGTGTGTGTGTGTATGTGCGTGTGAGAGTGTGTGTGTGTGCGCGCGTGTGAGAGAGTGTGTGTGTGTGTGCATGTTTGTGTGAGTGTGCGCGTGTGAGCGTGTGTGTGTGCCTGTGAGAGTGTGTGTGTGAGCGTGTGTGTGCGTGTGAGAGTATGTGTGTGTGCGTGTGAGAGTGTGTGTGTGTGTGTGCGTGTGTGTGTGTGTGTGTGTATGTGTGTGTGCGTGTGAGAGTGTGTGTGTGTATGTGTGTGTGCGTGTGAGAGTGTGTGTGTGTATGTGTGTGTGCGTGTGAGAGTGTGTGTGTGTATGTGTGTGTGCGTGTGAGAGTGTGTGTGTGTATGTGTGTGTGCGTGTGAGAGTGTGTGTGTGTATGTGTGTGTGCGTGTGAGAGTGTGTGTGTGTATGTGTGTGTGCGTGTGAGAGTGTGTGTGTGTATGTGTGTGTGCGTGTGAGAGTGTGTGTGTGTATGTGTGTGTGCGTGTGAGAGTGTGTGTGTGTATGTGTGTGTGCGTGTGAGAGTGTGTGTGTGTATGTGTGTGTGCGTGTGAGAGTGTGTGTGTGTATGTGTGTGTGCGTGTGAGAGTGTGTGTGTGTATGTGTGTGTGCGTGTGAGAGTGTGTGTGTGTATGTGTGTGTGCGTGTGAGAGTGTGTGTGTGTATGTGTGTGTGCGTGTGAGAGTGTGTGTGTGTATGTGTGTGTGCGTGTGAGAGTGTGTGTGTGTGTGAGTGAGTGTGTGTGAGTGTGTGAGTGTGTGTGTGTGCCTGTGAGAGTGTGTGTGTGTGTGTGTGCGCGTGTGAGAGTGTGTGT